CACTCATTGCTGTCCATCTCTCGTAGTACAGCACAGCTTTGTATGCCTCGCATGCCTCGCATGCCGCCTCAACCTGTATGCCCTCACCTTGTCTCAGCTCCTGCTCTCTGGCTTCTTGGTGCTCACAGTACTTGCATGTGTGTTCACTACATGGGCGACAGGATAGGGCATTAGTGTTACCATGCTGTTCACCCACACAGTGGGCTATAGTGAATTCGTAGGTCTGTAGCTCTTCTAGCCTATGGACCACCTGCCCCTAAGGCTTGCAAAAGGTCATCAGCCACTGCAAGGAAGCAAAGCCTGGGAGTAGTGTGAGAATCATGTTCTTTGATTTCTCCAGTGTTTTTAACACCATACAGCTTATGCTCCTGAGGAACAGTCCTGGTATATGGTATATGGCACTGGTGGTGCATTCCCTCCACCAGTGAACATCCAGGGAATGGACACTGAGAGACTGGACTCTTATAAGAACATGGGATTTCACCTCTACACTAGACTGGACTGGTCAGATAACATTAGTGCACTTTAAAGGAAAGGCCAGAGCAGACTCCACCTGCTTAGGAGACTGAGGCTGTTTGTGTGTGGGGGCAGGGGGCGCTCCTGAGGACTGTTTTCGACACCGTGGTGGCATCAGCCATCTTTTATGGAGTGGTCTGCTGGGGTAGCAGCATCTGAACTGCAGATAGAAAGAGACTTGATAGACTCATTAAGAAGGCTAGCTCTGTCCTGGAAAGCCCCCTAGACCCAGTGCAGGTGGTGGGGGACAGGAGGATGTTAGCCAAACTAGCATCCATACTGGAGAACAGCTCCCACCCCATACATGAGAATCTGACAGCACTGGGCAGCTCCTTCAGTGACAGGCTGCTTCACTCAAAGTGTGTAAAGGAGCGCCATCGCAGGTCTTTCCTTCCTGCTGCTGTTAGACTGTACAATCAGCCCTGCTCCCAGTAGAACCTCCTCCACCCCCATTAGACCTCACATACCTACCGTACATAAGCTGTGAAATTCATCACCATTTCCTGTGTGCAATATAATCAATACTCCATCTGCAATTAGTGTAATATATATATATATATATATATATATATATATATATATATATAGATATATATATATATATATATATATATATATATTTTGTTTGTTTGTTTGTTTTTTCATTTATAATTGTTTATATTGTTAATTATTGTAAATAGAGTTTATGTGAAGGATAGGCTTTATATTTTTCATCATATATTTTTTATCTTTAGTACTATATATATTGTCTATATAGTATTATACAACAGTTAGTTCTGGCCACGCAAGCTGATTGGTTGAGAAGCGTTCTAACCATGCTGTTATTTCACCATAACATCATGGGTTTTTTCACAAACACTGTATCACTCCGCTGAGGCGCCGTTGCTAAGCAACGATTTTGACAGCTGTAGGAGACACTCAAGCCATCTGAACGTTTTTACTTCTTACTTTGCCACAAACAGAAAATGGATACTTTTAAGATCACATTTGACGGACAGGCGATTTGGTCAGACTCTGAAGATGAGACTACACTAAATTCCCAAACTGTCAGTTGGTCTGTGTGGAGCTGGAGAACGAACTGCCGACTATGCAGCGAGTGATCGGAGCTCGTTACTTTGACGTAGCAACAAGCTGCTTGTTAAGGAACTATAATTTGGCGGAAGGAATTGCTAACATTAAAACATATTAAATGCCACCTTCACGGCCCAATTTATTAATTTCTTACTTTATTTCTTTAACTGTTGGATAAAAGCAAAAGAACACTTGAGGTTGTGTGTTATCGCTATAACATCACGGCCGTGATGTTATTTCGCGATAACACGCTCCCTCTCGTGTTCTATTGCTTAAACAATACATGCATGTGTACAGGTGTCCATGAGGGGGCGCTCACAGTGCAGTGTAAAGTTTATGACAGTGGTGTAAAGGTGAAATACTCTCTGCAACTGTAGGGGGGGAGGGCCCTAGAGCAAAAAATACTAATTCTCACATAATGCTGCTTTACATAAGGTGGGGAGAAACCAAGGAGAGTTTTATAGAGGGGTTTCTGTGCGAAGTCATCCAAGAGATGTGTGCGCAGCTAGGCAGCAAAGACGAGAAGTTGCTGTTCAGTAAACTCCACCGACTGCAGGGAAGATGGTTGGAGAATGTTTAATACCCTGAGTGGATCACATCCTTTTACCAAATATGGATCCCGGCCATCAAATGGACAGACTGGGGTCCTGATGGTCCCAAAGGCAGCGAAAGTCTATGCGGCACCCACTTCATATCTGAATGTAGTGTTTTTTTAAGGGTGATTAGCTATCAGCACATCCAAACTGTGGTTATAATACTGGTAGCATTTTCTGACAAGGCTAAAGTCGGCTTCTTATTCACATGCTTCTTGTTCATATTTTCCTATTCCACCTTAAGTGGTGTCTGAGTGGGCAGTGGCCTGAGGCACCAGAATGTAACTGCTGCACCATTTAAGATGAAATGGGAATATTCAAACAAAAAGCTGACTTCAGCTTCATGTGATGTAGGCTATCAAAGTATCACACCTACAGTGTTATGTAGAGCTCTACCTGTAAATATGTGCTATCATTGGACATTTCGATGAGGTCACACAATTTGTCAGCACAGCAGTACATTTCTGTTTGCTAACCTTAGATAGTGAGGCAATAAATAAGTTAGCACTGTGTGTGATTCATATCAATGAAAGCTAAACTAAATAATATTGGTTTTGTTCAGTAGGTCATTTTCTAACTAACTGGCCAGATAAACTGTTTATTTAGTTTAGCGACACTAGCAGTGCCACCATGATCCTGATATTGTCAGATAAAGAAAAGAATAGACAGACTCAACAGACAACTAAACCAGGTAAGTTGGGTAAAATTCCTAGGCCACGTCAGTTAGCTATAAAGTTTTCTGTGATTTGGATAGCTCCCATTAGCTAAACATTTAGTGAATAGCAAACTCGGGGCATTGATGACTACTGATAGTCAGCTATTTTTAGCTAACATTTTGCATAATGCTATTTTAATACACAAATGAAAGATGAAAAAATTAAACTCTAAAATGGCATTTTATAATTGAGGCAACAAGAATTTGCAAACAATGAGAAATCTAGGACAGTAGCCTTTACAGAATAACAGTTCCTAACTTCATAATCTTATCATTAACTCCAGGTAAGAAAACAGTATTACACAAATATCTTAACTAGAATAAATCTCCTAAAAAATCTCTGCAAACCTGAAAGGTGGTAGTTTTGTTCTTTTATAAACAACTAAGTTTATGTTCATCAATACCCAAAACAACAGTTATATTCTTTCTTACAGGTTGACACAGGACCTATAAACGTGTATTACATTAAGAACTTACAAGGAAAATCACAAACATTGTTCATAACATCAGATATGCCGGTACAGCGCTGCACTCATAGCACCACTCAGTAGGACGTGTTATGCTGGGGGCAATTCATGCTGAGCAGCCATGGGTGGGCTGCACCAACAAGAAATAAGTTAAACAGCGTTTAGACCTAATGAAGGGTTTGTTAACCTAGGATTTGTTTTAAATTGTGTTGCACCTCTTAATTTTAAACATGGGTAAACAAATCTGTGCTTAAAGCCTTAATCTGTGCCTTAAGCAGCCTTCATTTTGATTGACGATAACATTACTGTCCACACTGTCTGTGATTAGAAGGTACTTTTTTCCATTTTTGAGAGTTAATTAGCTCAGAACTACATCAGAAACAGCTCTCACAGGCAAAGAGCCGATTCAGACAATCCGTTATCAGACCCAGAGGCTCTGCGTCAGCAGGGGGCGCTGTTTATTCAGCACTGAGAAGACTGCTGACAATGTACACTAAATCTGTCTGTAATTTGAATCAAAATATTTTAAATACAGACGCTCTGAATCTTATTCTGTAAGCCACAGTAAAAACTCTATTATTATTTAATTCTTACACAGAATATTGTTAAAGTAAACTTTTAGCCTGCTAGCTAACGCTAGCTAGTTATCTGCCAAGCTGCCCATTCTGCATCAGCTAGTTCAACAAGATCGCGTTCGTATCTTGAGTTTATTCAGTCTTCAGCTTTACTTCATTTACACGTAGTATATAACTGTAAAACGTGCATTATTTAGATCCGCTGCTGTGTTTATGTCCTTCTATTTTAGTGATTCACACAAAAGCTACAAGAGTGCTAATAGCGCCCCCTTTTGGGACCATCAGTGAGTTACAACAAAGTCCTTGTAAGTTTTTTTGCTTTATATTAATATAGTTTTACTCAGAGAGATTTTCTGTTCTGTGAGAACACTCAATTTTTTAACACAGTTGTAAATTTAAACCACCAAAATAAAAGGTTTTTCAATTTAATCCCTGAATGAAGTTTAAATCAGGGGTGTCCAATCTTATCTGCAGAGGGCCGGTGTGGCTGCAGGTTTTCACTCCAACAAAGCAGGAGGTCACCTAATGAAATGTATGAAGATAAAGACTATCTGATTAAAGTAGAATCAGATGAGCTGCAGCTTGTTTGGAGTGAAAACCTGCAGCCACACCGGCCCTTTGTGGACAAGTTTGGACACCCCTGGTTTAAAATAACGGTGCAACAAAATTAAATTTAATCTAGATTTACTATAAAATAATCCAGAATTAAAATGATGGTTTAAATGTAATCCTGATTATTTTTAAACTAGGTTTAACGTTTGGTGCTACAGAATTAGTAGATAAATTTTGATTTAGTCAGAGTTTCAGCTTTATACTTGCTGGTGCAGCCCACCTACATGTTCAGAAGACCTGCCACTCAAATCAGTTGACCAATAGAAAGTGCAGGTGAGCGCCCTCTTCTAAGACCTGCCCCCTGTTAAAAAGTGCCAAAAGTCAGAAACAAAAGAAACATTTCTGATGCAAAAATATATCAGCAAAATCAGCAAAGAAAACTCAGACAGGACGGTATACATTAAAACAACAAACAATGTGGGGGAAAAAAAGTAAACAAACAGTAATAAACTGTAAATATACAGTCAGAACAGATGAATATTAAAGAATTTAACCTCTAAAATGCGAATGTAACACTCAGTAACAGTGAAACAGCTCAAAACTCACAATATTACACTCTGCACTGTTTGAACCGGCTGGTCAGAATGAACAGTAAAGTGATCTGACTGAAGTCCACCTTGTTAATACGAATAAAACCATCTCTGATCACTGGGTTCTCCCACTTTCTCCTCCTGTTTTTTTCTCCTTTGTCTCTTCTCTCTGGAGGTTTATTTGCTCATAACCTTGTTTTTTTTTTATTAAGTGTCTTCTGGAGACTCGTGGACATGAAGTACGGCCTCTCTGCAGATCCATCATTGCGCTCCAGATCCTCCACTGAGGGAACAACCATTAAATCAGAACCAAGATCAGCTCAGCAGTGAACAGTAATGGTGTAAACCTCTAACTCACTCTCTCACTACGATTAGAGCTAAATACCTAAACACTTTAGGACAAACCCCAACAGGATCCTAACTTCTGTTCAAGCATAGTTTCTATTGTTTTTAGACAGCTAGTAGTTCACTACCAGCATAATGACGCTACATTTATTTATACTGTAAAACGCTGCTTTCACTTTTGAGATGTTTTTCTTCTCTAACTCTGCATTTTAAAAATCTCAGATGCTGCAGACTCGACCTCCACTGTCCCCTCTTACTACCTTCATGTGTTAATGTTGATGATAAAATATTACAGTGATGGTGGTGAATAATGAGGAGACTAATAGGGAGACTATTAGGAGGAATAACGTTAGCGCGCTCAGCTAAAGTGTTTGGGAAATGGAGACTGAAACTGGGGAGCAACAATGTTCTGATACACAGCAGGGGGCGCTCTCACAGTATTCTCAATTCAGTTTATTACACTTTAGTTTAGTTTGACCTTTTTTCCATGAGCAACGGCAGCTGTAACTTACATTTTTAACATTATTGTGATTACGTGTTTATGTTTCAGCTGTGAGCGTATGGTCGGTTGCTTGGTAACAGTTTACTGTCACCTCCTCCACTTTCCTGGTGGCTGTTTGAGTAAGCCGTCATTCCTCTCCGAGTCCTTCGGCCCGGTGAGTTCGGGCAGCCGTGGTTTTTGGGTTAGTGGTTTATAATGAGAGCGGAGAGGTGGCCGAGAGGCAGTAGTGTGGGAAGAGTGAGATGATGGAGAGAAAGAGAGAAAGAGAAAAGGATTACCCTCAAAGCCAGGCGAAAAGAGCTCACAAGTGAAAAGAGCAGATAAGAGAGGGGAGTGTTACAGTGAGTGCAAAGCTTCAGCACGTACAGAGTAAAGTGGATAAAACCAGTTAAAAAGGCAGTAGAACAGCGCAGGAGGCATGTTATATTGGATAAAATTACAGCTGGGATGATACACTGATCATTTTCACTTCCAGTGTTCCATTGGTTATATCATATTGCAGTGATCTGCTGCTGGCTGGTGCTGGCACCTGAGACTCTGGAGGTGTGGCTAGAGAGATAACCACAAGCAAAGGCATATGGTAGTGCGTGCCCTCCAACAAAGGGACTTGTTTGTGTTGTTTAATGTCATTGTCTGTTAGTTTAAGTTATGTGTCCATATTGTTTGTGTTATTTAGTGTTGGGGTTGTGGGTTTTGTGCGCGTTGGGGGTCACCGTCAGAGTAAAGCCGGTGGCTAGAGGTGACCTTCCCCCTCTAGTGCGCTGGTCTTGTTTGTTCTGCTGAATAGGCCAGTTAAATGCAAGTGCAGTAGGAAAAGTTGAGCGTTACAAGCGTTCCCATTCATATTTCAACCAGTGGCCAGTCTCGTCATTGATAACGTCTGATGTAAACAGCGATTGTTTGTGCTGGTTGTATGTTTTGCCATGCATGTTACCATTCAAGAAGGGATACTGCTGCCAACTTGGCTAATCATGGCCACCCCTGTGTTTTTTCTTCTGCCAATGCTACAATATGTAGCTTTTCAAAGTGTTTTGAAACCAAATGGTCATGCTTTCCTTTCTGATTAACATCAAGTTACTATATTGAAGTCTAATCTGGTATATTTAGAGGAACAAACAGTCTCACCCACCTAAATATTTGCGCCTATATTAGTGCCACCAGCAGAAGTGGCAGCGAACCACGGCAGTCAACAGAACGTTCTCTTAAGAGTTCCATTAACCATTATTTTTTTTTGAGAAAGTAAAATTATACAACAAAACATCAGAATAGCAAAGAAGCCTTTTTCACCTTAAATAATCAATCAAATGTTGGAGATGCCAACATTTCCATTGTTGTCAGTGGTGTCAGTCATGCAGGCACAAAACGATATTTTTGAACGTCATTATGTAAACACAGCATTAGAGTTGAAGACAAACATATCCAAAGCATAAGTACAGAACTGATTTATAATCACTAAACTATTACTGGAATTTCTTACTTTACTGTAAAGTAAAATTTTAAAAGATGGTGAGGTGGCCCTAAACGTTTGGCCTGCAGTGGGTTGATATTTTTAGCATACTGTATTTTCCTGACAGAAGGTTTTGAGTGCTGCATTTTCTCTGCCAGAATATATCGAGCTTTAACACTCACAGAAGCACAGGAACAGAGTGTCCACACACATGCCGTAGACGCTGAAGAAGCCGTGGGCGATGATGTAGGTGCCAAACACCACCGTCTAGAACAAACACACACTGCAGTGAAACAACCTGGTAATATTTCAGTAGCATAAACACAGCTGATTCGGTAACATTTAGCATCCTGATATACCACAACAACACAGCAGGATCTAAGGATTACTATGGATTACTGTGTTATATCAATAATGCTAATGCTAATAATCCAAGAGAACTGCACACAGCAGTTGTTATATTCTAGTATCAATAATGCTAATGCTAATTAATTCCAGAAAAGTGATTTAAATACAGCAGTAGCTAGATTGCAGTATCAATAATGCTAACGTTAATTCCAGCGAACTAATCTAAATACATCAGTAGCTATATTCTGTTATCAATAATGCTAACGCTAAAGCATTTAATAGATCTGATATGAATGCTATTACTACTACTACTACTAATAATAATAATAATAATAACGATAATAACAAAAATAGAAAGCTGTTTTTCTTATTCAGCTGTAGCCTGTATTAATGTAGTAAATCAGTAATGCTAATGCTCGTGTCTAAACTCACCACAATGGGAACCCAGTAGTAGTTTAGTGACGGAGCCGCTTCCTCCACAACCTTTATCTTCCCTGAGAAGAAGAAGAAAGAGCAGACTCCTGACAGGAAAGAGAGAAAAAACAGCTAAAGCCACTTTTCTCAACTACTTCAGCAGATTAACTATCATTTCATACCAATTAATCGTGCAACACCTACATCACAAATGTACACTGCACAGCTGAAAAAACAGACAGAAGTAGAATGAAGCAATAAGCCATAAGCGGTTGTGCATTACTGTGATTTTATCACAGGGAAGGGTGTTCTTAGGCACAACGTGAAGTGGAATTAAAACCCTCCTCCCCATTATAAAATCACTGTAGTTCATGGCCTCAAGTGGCTTATTGCTTTTATATCATGTCAGCCAACATAAAATATGCTAAAATACCCAAGTTATTAATAAAGAAATGTAATAAATGAGAAGAATGAGGAAAACGTTTGGTCGCCCATCGCTGTATACTGTGGCCGTTTCATGAATTGTTTAACTTTTTCTCACATATCAATGAACATCTGATAACACGGCACTGTTTAATGCAAAAACCGTCATTTCATAAGCACTTTTAGTCAGCAAATGGCCACAGCGAGTTAGTACATAAATATTTTCTTAAGTACGTTAATTGAAGCCTGTAATATTAATAATGGAGTCATTTAGCATGTTTGCTATTTTTAGCCTGTTAGCTGCTTAACCACCACCACAACCAAACCCAAGGCACCAACCCCCTCACCCACACCCAACACCTCCCACCCCCCCACCACGACCAACACCACACCACCCCACACCAACCCACCCCCAAACCTACCCACCCGAACCCAACGACCAACCCCCCAACCCCCACACACAGCAGCCCCGAACACCACCCCCAAAACCAAACCCCACACACACACCCCAACACCAAGCCCTCACCCCCTCCCACACCCCCCTAAAACAACCCACTCCCCAACACACCCCCCCCCCCACAAACCTACACCCACACACCCAAACCACCACACCACAACCCCCGCCACCCAACCCACCCCACCCCACACACCAAACACCACCCCCCACCCCCCCCAACACCACACACACCACCTACCCAACACAAAAACCCAAACAACCAAGCCCCCACCCCCCCCCACACCCCCCACACCCCCCCCCCACCCCAAACACCCCCCACCCACACCCAAAACCCCCGCCACCCCCTACACAACACCCCCCAAACACACCCCCACCCAACCACACCATCCTACCAAAGCCACCCGCCAACACCACCCACCCACCCCCCACACCGACCACCCGAAAACACACCCCCCCACCCATCACAACCCCCCCACAACAGCCCCCACAACTAACCACAACCCCTACCCCCACCCCACCACACCCCAACACCACCCCCCCCCAAGGCCTAGTTCTAGGTAAGAACATAAGTTGCCAGACCCTCAGTTCAAACAAAAATCAGGTTCTTACTTCATCAATATACTCGATGGTCCATGCGAGCAGCACGAGTGTCAAAGACTATTAATAGAACAAGGGTTTTTTCGTTCCGTGGCTTAGTAATGCATAATTCAATTGTTGTGAGGTGGTCACAGTGTGTACATCAAGGATTTTACAATGGCTTTGAACGTGGCTCAGCTAATCAGATTTTAGGATCGGAATCATCAGTTTTATAAGTCTGAATTTAGGGTGATATTGTTACAGCCTCTACCCACCTGCTCCCTCGATCCTCTACCAACCATTCTAACCTGTCTACCTGCTCTGGCTCCTCATCTCAATGATTGTTACTCGTTTTTTTTCAGGCCTTGATTCAGCTAATTTCAATGAGTTCCACCAAATCTCTAACCTCCCATTTCTGTTGAACATGCTTGAATGAGTTTACAGCTTACTTATTAAGCAATAATCTTTTCAAACCTTTACAGTCTGGATTCTGTCCGTATCACAGTGCTGAAACTGCCATGACTAAGGATACTGACGACCTCCTTACATCCGCAGATGCTTTCTCTCTGGAGATAGAAAGAGTGTATTTCTCTCACTGGGTTTACTTCATCAACTTCAACTGTCATTTAAGGGGTTCCTCAGGGTTCAGTCTTCGGACCACTGCTCTTAATCACTTACATAGTGAAGAGATCTGTGGTGAAAAATAGCTGCTGCAATGGTGAATCCTGCCTCCAGCATCCTCCTTGTGCCTGGGGTAGCGCATGAAATGCTTCAAGATCATATGACACTAGACATTTACTGCTATGCTGATGACACTCAGGTATGTCTCAGGATGCAATCCACCTCTCAGATAGTTTAAATATTGTTTTTTCTGAGAAACGCTCAGGATGAAACACAACTTTCTGTAACGTTGTGTGATCAGGAGGTAATGCAGGATGCAAGTGCGACTTTTCTTGAAGTCCTTGGCAGGAACAGGAGCAATAAGCAAAAAAAAACAAGAACACGAGTAAAATAAACAGGAAAAGAAACAGAACCAAAGCAACAACATAACAACAAAGCTACAACTGCCAAGCAAAGACAAGACTGAAACAAGGGGTGTATATATATATATATATATATACAAACACTCAAGACTAGAGACAGCTGAGAACAATGATGGGCGGAGCTAAGAACAAGAAACAGGTGTGGGCTGAACACATGGCAGAACAGGGGAGGACCTAACAAAACAACACAAAAGCACATAAACTAGAAAATAAAGACACACGTCAGACATAAACAAAAGCACATAACAGAGGAAAAACAAGGAAACCAAGCTAAAAAAGAGAAAGACAAGGACAAGGCATGACAGGACTATATCTCACTTGACGATACAGCAGTCTCCCCGTCCCCTCAGGTCAGAAATCTGGGTGTCATCTTCGACCTGACTCTGTCATTCAATGCCCATGTCAGCTCTTTTATTAAAGTTTGTTTTTTGATCTTCAAAATGTGGCCATTCTTCTCTATTTCTGCTGCTGCATCTCTCATATGCGCTTTCATCTAGTCGTTCAGACAATTGTAACTCTCTCCTTGCAGGCATCAGTTCTTCCCCCTTCACAAATTTCAGATGGTCCAGAACTCTGCTGCTCACCTTCTCACCTCATACTCACTCGCAGCTGTTCTCTATGATCTCCACTGGCTTCCTGTAACGTACCACCTTCACTTTAATGTTCTTAACAACATCACTCTTCCTAACTTTCTGATCTTCTCCTTCGTTATAAACCCACCTGTACTCTCTGCTCATCTTCAGCTGATTTGCTAACCTTTCCCACATCCAACCTTTATAATTTTGGCGACCAAGCATTTTCTAGATTTGCTCCTCATCTCTCGAACTCTCTTCCTCCGCATGTCCAGCAGTCTGATTCACTTACTTACCACCGAGCTAATCGCCTCTCTCAGTACGTTACACTGTGTTCTTCTTTGTTTTCCTGTTTGTCTTCTGGTGTTCTGTGTTTTATTACAGTTGTAAGTGTCTTTGGGTTCTTGAAACGCACAATATATGTTTCATGTAGTATTATTATTATCATCATTATGATTATTATTATTGTTGTAGCGACCTGCTACCACCTGAAGCTGGCTCTGACGAGCCGGGAGGTGTGGCCACGTGAGCAGCCATGCACAAAGGATCATGGAAGACGCACTGTGTTGTTTAATGCTGTCTGTGGCTGAGCTCCCCTGTGAGTTTGTGAGTATGTATTTGCCTTTTCTGCTGGTGTTTAATAAAAGAGCACTTCTTGTGGGAAAATCATGGCCTCACTAAATCACGATCTTACTTGATGCCAATGCGACATTATTGCTATTATTAAATATATATTAATTTTCTGCTTTGGGAACCGAACCACAAATATAAAGTCCCGCTTAGTCTGTACTTTAGTCCCTGTTTATAGATAACAGTGAATCATACACTGTAAAAAGTGCCTCGTCAGATCTAATTAAAAAAATGATGTGGTAACAAGTAAATCAACTCGTTTTATTCAACCTAAATAAATACTTTGAATGACCAATTCTTTCAATCAATGTAGTTTTGAATCAAACCAGTTCAATTGCTTGTTACCACATTAAGTAATTCTTTAAAAGTAGATCTGACAAGACACTTTTTACACTGTATTTTGGGTTTGGCCCTTTTTTTAATATTTTTGCACAGAAGTACATTGGGTGTAAGAGGAAGGTAAACGGTGTAAATCTGAGTGTCGCTTTAATTTAATGCTACAATTTTTAATTTAATGAATAACAAACAGAAGATCCGTCTACAACAGCTCTACTGAGATGGACTCAGTTTAACTGAATAAGTTCCTTTGAGTTGCGCTACAGGTGCAGATTCCTGCTTTTCGGTGAGGTTTGGTTTAGTTTGTGTGGAACGGCTCTCAGTTTATTAGTATATTTTATTCAGCTCCTCTCGGCACTTACCCACAATCCCCACTATCAGCAGCTTTCCCAGAAACAACAGGAAGTCTGTCACTTTGTCCAGCATGAACACTCTAAAACACAACACATGAATTTATTATGAAAAAACATCTTTATGAATGATTTAGTTACTGATACTTATAAACAAAACCCTAAAAGCATTAAAAGTAGAGAAAAAGTAGATAGATTATGTGTCAAAATCTTAGTAAAAGTGTCAGAACTCAACTGGTCAGAGAATGTGGCCACTTGAAAAAAACTCCTTAAGTATTCATCTTAGTTAATGTTTGAGACAAATTTAAACTGTAAAAATAAATATATTTTTTTTGCAAAACTAATGTGATGAATTTTAGATTTAGGCTACAAAACATTTTATGATCCACAAAACAATTCCCTAAATAGATTTTACACAGTTCACTTAGGATAAAAGGCCAAAATGTACTAATGATGTTTTATGCAAATGACTTTGATGTTTGTAACAAGTGAATAAATGTCTTAATGGAAATGTAAAGAGTATTTTTTCCTACTGAGTAAATGTACTACTAATCAATTTCAATAGTACTGGAGTCAAATACAAATCTTTAATGCTTAAGTACAGTAATAAAGTACAATCACTGGAGTATTTTCCACTCCTGCTGATTATTAGATAGTCTATAATCGTCTATCTCTGTCTAATCCCAGCTGAGTACAGCAACCGTGGTGATGTGTCGATTTCTCTCACCGGACAATGTTCCTCTCAGGAGGAAGAAAGCGTCTTAGTCAGACGTGCAGTAAGTTTTACCGTAAATGGCGACCTGGGAGAGAAAATGAGTGAAAAATCATTATTAACCTTGAATTCTGAGATGCAGAGTCATCAATACTGAAATCAACTTTGACAGCTTTCTACAGGAGGAGTGTAATAATCCTACTTTACTAAGATTAGTGCACACACAACTGTAGTGATACATTGACTCCATACTCAAGTATAATAAAGGAATAAACAGATTTAAGAGAAAAAGAGGATAAGAAGTAAACTACTCTAACAATACACTCTCTGAGTTTCTTAAGGACGTTTTCTTCACAAAATAAGAAGCTTCCAACACTGCTAAGATTTCAGTGATATAGCTAACATTTAGACACATGTGCTGATATTAGCTAATTTAGCTAGCAACAAGCAAAAACACATTTAAACCACAGATTTAGGTTTAATAAAGAGCTTTGTGCTTGTTAATCTGAAAAAGACATGCGTAAACAGAGTTGTGAAGCACACACTTACTTTTACTCTAGATAACAATACAGCACTTACATAAAAGTATCAATTCATTACAACAATAACCAACATCAACCACAACCCTGTATCAAAAGCTTTCTAAGTAGTGTGAGAAGGTACTGATAAAGCAGAGTAATATTAGGCTGTTGCTTGGGAAAATTTGCTTAAAGTAAAAGTATTAATAGAATGACTACGCTTGAGAGAGGTGTAGAGTAAAAACGTACTTACTTTGAGTTTCTTCAACATGTTTTCCTCATGAAGAGCTCCAATATGTTAAGATATGCTGAGTTATTGTAAGCTAACACATTAGCTTAGCTTGAATGTTATCTGGCATTAGCTACATTAGCCAGCTAACAGACACTCAAAATAAAACAGTAGAAGCAGTTTAGGATTAATAGAGCTGTGTTTCTTATTCTAAAAGGTCAAAATGAGAAGAATAAAGTACACACAGCAGCTAGCTGCTAAGATTAGCTTAGTTGGTGAGCTAAGTGTTTCCTCAGTTTTGGATGTTGAGGAATCAGGGCACTTACTCCCCATTTGTAATTAAAATAAAAAATAGCCATGTTGCATAATTTATTAGAAAGGAACTCAAGTAAAGTAAAATTTCATTATATTTGCGCTGATAGAGGGAAAAACACAGGAACTGCATGAGATGCTAACATTAAATTTCAGTACAGCGGTCGTACCATGATGTAGGCGTTTCTGTTGAGGAACTTGAAGCATTCCTCCAAACACCAGAAGTAGCACGTCAGGCACCTCAGGATGAACCTAGCAGCTTTGTTTTCAGCAACTGAGAGAGAGAGAGAGACAGAGAGAGAGAGAGAGAGAGAGAGAGAGAGAGAGATCACGAGGTCAATTCATGGTATTGTATTACGTCATTAGGAAGAGCGCGTCTCCATGTTGGTAGGTGAGCTGTAACTGTGTGCTCTAATGGAGCTCGTCTCATCATTGTTACTGCAGATACAGCCCTGCATGTGGATAAACACCAACAAAACATACAAGAATGACCATGAAAACATGAAAAGATATGAGGACGTTTTAGACAGTCTCCAGAAAACACTACAAGAAGAAGATTACCAAGACCCAGATAAGAAGAGGATGGTGGGCCACTATTGGCCTGCTGATGGCAAAGCCTGTGGTCCACTGGTGTTTTGATCAGCGTTTTCTGGGTGCTGCTTCTGGAACGTTAGACAAATGCCACTTTCCCTGCATATTTTGCACTCAGACACAATGTACTTATTTTTCTTCCATTTCTTTCTTTTCTTATCCTCTGTGACTTAGTTTAGTAAATCATTCTAACATAAATATTATGAATAAAGCCACTTATACAGCTGTAGCCAATCTAGCACAGTGTTAGCCTCAAGATTTTCAACTAAATTACTTTTTGTTAGGCCTAGTCATTCATTTTTTTCTTTCTGTTTTTTTTGTAAATATTTGTCTTAGTTTATTTTCTAAAATGAACAACTATGTGCATTTAAAATCTGTTTGATTAAAAGATTAAAAACTAGTTAGGCCTTATATGCAGGACAACAGTCTGGGTGGTCCAGGATGGACCAGCAGTGGAAAACAGTCAGCGGGGGTCCTTATCAGTGGACCAGTGTACGCTCGCTATCTGAGGGTTGGTGGATCTGTGTAACCTGCATATCTCCAGAAAATTCCAACAAATTCCAATAAAAATAGAATGTCTATCAAAGCTGCGAAAGCTCTGAAATAATAAACCAATACACAGACATAAAGCTGAAGTCAGCTTCTTATTCACCAGGTTCTCATTTGAATTCTCCATTCCACCTTAAATGGAGCTGCAGTTACACTTAAGTGACTTAAACGTAGAACGAATTTCAAAAAAGAAGCTGGCAAATGCAAAGTCAACATCAGCTGACCTTAATAAATGCATTAATTTACCTCAATAAATGTTTCTTTAATCAGGAAACACCTTAAATTTTGTCTTGGAAGTGTTTAATGAGCAGCTAACGAGCAGCTTAGCAGAGCAGCTGTTGAACACGTCTCACTGGCGGATTTAACGCCGCGTCCCAAACCACACACTTCTGTACTTCACCTACTACACTAATGAGTGCACTTCTAATGGGATATGAACCATTTTTACACACTATTTACTGAGCTAGTGTGTAGTTTAGGATGCAGCAGAAGTAATGCAGCAGGAATTCTCTGGAATTTAACACGCTTTTCCACTTCATGGTACTGGCTCGACTTGATTCGACTCTACTCGCAAACCTGGTACCAGGTACTATTTCTAGTACCACCTCTGTCGAGGTTCCAAGTGAACTGAGCCCATATCAAAAGGTGGCGTAAAAACGCTGCAGACTGCTGATTTGTCGTAGGGAATCACTAAACACATATGCTAACATTAGCTAACAGGTTAGTGTAGCTTCCTCCTGCGTCTCCTTTGAGCAGTGACGGAGCACCTCTGAAGGCACATTTGAACGAGCGGCTTTCTCATGTTATTTCGTGGTAAGACAGAAAACAGGAGACACAGACAGGAGAAACGAGAGGCAGAAAAGGCAGAAAAGCTTCAGCTCACATTTCAGTTTCTTCTCAAGATACTCCAGGATCACCCTGATCACCTGAATGATGGAGAGGATCAGAGAACCGAAGGCCAAGGAGCCTGTATGATACCTGAGAGAGAGAGAACATCATTAATCACACTCTAATCACATGATTTTGTGCTCCTGTTTTTAGCTGTGGCAATGTATTAATAGTCTATGTACGGTGCCAGAAACCACACGAGCATGTTTATTCTTGCTTGCCAGCTTCTTAGTAAAATTTTCCATTCCACCTTAAATGATGCACAGGCGCCAGATCGTAACTGCTGCGGCATTTAAGGTGGGACGAAAAATTTGAATAAGAAGCCAACTTCACTAACACGTTACAAGCGAATGTGTGATGATCAGGCATGCAGTTAGCATCAGCAAAAAATTATCAAAATGTATGTATCAAAAGTATCAAAATGTCCAAAATATGTTGCAAGCACAAATAATGACAGTCCAAGCTTAATCTTCAAGCATAACTTTTCAAAAAGATGTTTACTTATTTTCTCTCATTCTGATATAAATGTATTACTTATTTTGCCAGTTTTTGCTCTACTTTTTTTATATTTGCTCATTTTGCTCATATGTTTTTTGCTTCTGGAATTGCTCTTTTGCTTCTGACTTTTGGCACTTTTTAACAGGGGACGGGTCATAGAAGAGGGTGTTTACCTGCACTCTATTGGTCAACTGATTTGGTTTGACAGGTCTTCTGAACACACTCACCTCAAATATGTTAGTGTAGCTTGCTTTCTGCTCAGCCAGCTCTGCTAGGTTCAGGTTAAGACTGTAAATTTGAATAGTTATCAACTATTGGACCCAAGTTTGTGATGCTCTGAAACGGAGTTGGGCAGTAGTGATAGTGATGCACCTGAGGGCTCGTCCGAGTGAGGATAAGAATGGGGAACGGCGGGATTCATCTGGTTTTGTTGAAGCCCAGAGTAGGAGGTGAGGCCCCCGGCCAGGGTCATCTGACCCAGCGCCTTCACAAAGTCACACATCAAAGAACATGACATGTTATAACTGAACACGATCAGGTACTTATGGAGGAACGTCCTCTCGCCATAGAACGCAAACAGACATTCCGCAATCCGAACTGTGCGGAGATGGTTGGAGCTGTTGAACTGCGTTAAGAAATCCAAAAAAAAGAAAATCTGCATATCCACATCACCCCCACTCATTTATTATGACTGCCTATTCATCCTACAGCAGTTTAGCTCCACCCATTCAGCCTACAGCATTTTAGTTCACCCACTCAAGCCTACAGCATTTAGCCCGCCCATTCAGCCTACAGCATTTAGCCCACCCATTTCAGCCTGCAGGCAGTTTTTAGCCCCGCCCATTTAGGCCTACAGCAGTTTATCCTCCACCCCTTCAGCTACAGCAGTTTATCTCCACCCATTGCCTACAGCATTTAGCTCCGCCCTTTCAGCTACAGCAATTTAGCTCCACCCATTTAAGCCTATAAGCGTTTTTAGCTCCACCTATTCGCCTATCAGCAGTTTTAGCTGCTCCACCATTCAGCTACAGCAGTAAGCCCCACGCCATCGCCTACAGCATTAAGCCCACCCATTTAGCACTTAGCAGCATTTGGCTCCTGCTCATCATCCATACAGCTGCAGAAAAAACCGGTGTTATTTGTAATAGATTGAAGAAAATGATCAAGTAGCATATTAAGATGTAGATATAAAAAAAAACGAAAAAAAACTACACTAACAGAAAGAATGTAGTGTACGTGTGTAACTGTAGAATGATTTATAATTCATTTTATCATTATCAATTCTTAATCATATTATTGAAGGGGTTTCTGGGACTGACCTGAGTGTCGGCAGGTCTGTCCGGAGTATTTACACGTCTGTGGTGTTTTGGAAACTTTATAGATCGTCTGATTGGAGGTGGACAGGAAGCTGGCAGGGCGGTTAGGATCAGCTGGATACCTTTATATTAGTTTGATTTATGTTGAATCATTTTGATAATTTTGTAATAGAAATTTAAAACTTTGTACCCAGCTTTTTATAAGTACTATGTCTGTCTTTCTATCCTGTGTTTCTGTCTGTCCTATCCATCTATCTGTCCTGGTCTGTGCTGTCCCATCTATCCATTTTGTCCTGGTCTATCCATCTGTCTATGTATCTGTCTGTCTGTCTGACAGTCTGTCTGTCTGTCTGTTGGTTGGTGAAAGTGACTCAGAATGATGGTGATGGTGCTGTGTCTGTGAGTTGATCAGGTTGTGCTAGATAGTGTGTACTCTGAGATGGATACGCAGAGGTGACGGCCCATACTCGATTCAACCAGACAAGAGGGCAAGGGTCAGTAGAGGGTAGAACAGTGATGACATCAGATAAGTCAGAGGGCCTGAAAACTAGATGGGTGAAACTACAAGAACACAACTATAACACAACTAAATGATAACAATTAATCATAATTATATTATTGTCTGAATTAATTTTATTTTAATTCTTTAATTTTGGTTAAATCACAAATAAATTTGCTCTACTTTTGCTAAAAATGTCATATGTAATGTTCTCTCTGTTAGAGGATGTCAGGATGAACTTATTTTTCATACTTAGAAATACAAAACATTGCATCTCACATTTTATGTTCAGTAGATTTTGAGCCAAAGTCAATAACTTTTGACACGCCAATTTGGCTCCTTTGGTGCTTCATAATAGCACACTGAACGTCCAAAACAGAGGAAATGTCTAATTTTTAACAGCATTTATCAAAAACCTTTTAGGCAGTTCATCACCACTCCCTATAAATAGTCACAAAAAGAGAGACTGTGATACACGGTCTGCCTCTAGACTGTACTATTATTTTTGTTTTATGCTTTAATCTACATAGTAGCCTATCTCTAATGTTAATGCTTATTGCTAACCACGCTGTACACAGTCCTCTGTACCAACCACATCAGATTGGGGAAGAACATGCTGAAAGCCCTTCTTCTTTCAGTATAACCCCTATTAAATTCACCATCCTCCCCTTTTGTTCCTGTGCAAAGTGTTTGCAGTCCCTCTCGCCCCACCCACCATCTCCTTCCGTGTTCCTTCGTCCTACATCATTTCCTGCTACAGCTATGGAGGGGCCTGGCGTTTAGCTACCAGCAGAAGCCTGCCCAGATACTACCCACCACCATGTTGAAAGGCATGCTTCTGAACTTATAAACTACACTTATACTGCAGTAAGTGTAAAGAATTGGTGCTCTTGTGTGTATATATTTTTGATAAAGTTTTTTGTGTAGTCACTGTTTGTAGCTTAGCGTGCTTTATAACTGCACATAATCTGCTGGACCAGCCTCGATCACGCCCGTTTTAAAAGGCAATACAAAGTCTAGTGGGACTGTGACTCAAAACAGACATAATAACTGTTTCGAACCTGACTAGCATGGGCTAGGAGCGAGCAAGTACAGTTTTGGTCTACGGGAGGCAGCATGTGTGTGCGTGGGGTGACGGGGGGGGGGGACGGGGGGGGACGGGGGGGGGGGGGCCGGGGGGGTTTGCACTCACCTGCTTGCTGGCCTCTTTTAATTGAGAGTGATGGCAATGACGATTCTGTTTCTGAGGAAGATGAGGATGAAAGATCACAGCTCCAGATACCCAGGAATAATTTGCTGGAAAGAAACACACACAGACTGACAAGATTAGCTAACCACCATATGTGATAATAATATTAATAATAGTAAAACTAAATATTTAGAATAATAATAATACAAACTCACTGAAGGCCATCCAGTCCCGCTGGATCTGCAGGTAGATGGATAGGAATCTGTCTGCACCCAAAATCCTTTAAGGTAACATCTGATCCAGCTCAGAAGCCTTTCAGAGCTACGTACGTCATATAACAGTAGAAAGGTACCTGGAGAGAGCGGAACAGAGAGACGATGAGAAGGGGGTGATTTGTGCCCCAGCACTATCATCATACCCACTAATGTTGCTTCATTTTCAGTTTGGATTTTATCTGGTAGCACGACTGTTTTCATTTAAAGGAAATCCAAGTTTTCTTACTGGGGAACACGAGCCTGCCTACAGTGCAGAGGAAACTTCCTCCTTACCGTAACCAATAACGAGGATGACCCAGATGATTAATCGTCCAAGTATGACCCCAGCCAGAAAACGCAGAAGAACAATGAGACCATGCTGAGCACCATGGCAATTATTAATCCACTGAGAGAGAGAGAGAGAGAGATAGAGACAGACAGACAGAGAGACAGACATACAGTGTTATACTGTCATACAGTGCTTTGCAGTACAGTGTTTTAGTGGTAATGGCAGAGTTATGCAGTCTATGAGTGTTTTTTACAGTGTTTTATAACAGTGTTTTGCAGTGTGTGAGGCTGATGTTATTGGTGTGCTGAGGTTGAGAGTCTCACAGCAGGATCCAGCGCCCAGGACTTTGTGTAACCTGAAAAGAATCTCATGGAACCTGCTGAGCTTTTCCGTGCTGTCGGACTTCCTGCAGAAACAAAAAAACCATTCAGCTTCTCACTGACAGTTTAACACTGACATTCCACACACACACACGCACACACACACACACACACACACAGACTGACTTGCTTGTGGCATTTGAGCTGAAGTTGATGGTACTGTTATCAACAATGACAACTGCATCACTTTCTATCTTCGGCAGGATTGGGAGACACCTTTGCATAACTACACACCCACACCAAACCCTCAGATTCAGCATATGAAAGTCAGATCCAAAGATACTGATGGTCAGAGCTGAATAACTCACTCGGCTTGCTGCGAATGATCGCCACTGGACACATTTCATCTTTCACGAGTTGAGTATCCGGCTGTAAATAAAAACCAACAATAACAACGTCAGTGGTCAGCCAAACAACAACTCACCACCGCTCGCTTAAACACAACTCAACAACTAAAAACTTTAAACAACTCAAAGCACATCTCAATAAACTTAACAGAACTACATCTCCCAACACAATCAAACAACTAACACAACTCAAATCAATCTATACAACTCAACGTAAACACTCTACCATTAAGCAAAACACTACACAGCTTAGCAGTCAAAAAGAGACAATTACACCAACTAAACACAACTCAACACAGCTCAATCAACTAAATACAA